TTGTTTTGGAAGAGCCTGCTAGGGAGTTTTAGTGCTTTCCACAAATTATCATTGATTGGGGTTGTTGTAGGTTTTTCGGGCTGTATAGCTATGTTCTAGAAGCATTCTCTCCTGACGTTTTGCCTGCATCTGTGGCAAGCATCCTCAGAAGTTGTGAGGTTTGTTGGAAACTAGGAAAATTGGGTTTATATATCTGTGGAAGGTCCAGGGTGGGAGAAAGAAAACTTGTCTGTTGGGGCTCAGTGTGAATGTTTCAATTGGCCATCTTGATTAGCATTGAATGGCCTTACAGCTTCAAAGCCTGGCTGCTTGCTGCCTGGGGGAATCCTTTGTTGGGAGTTGTTAGTGCAGTTCGAATCCGGAGAGTGGGGTGAGCTCCCATCTGTCAGCTCCAGCTTCTCGTGCAGGGACATGAGAGAAGCCTCCCATAGGATGGGAAAACATCCAAGCATCCCCTGGGCAATGTCTTTGCAGACAGCCAATTCTCTCACACCAGAAGCGACTTGCAGTTTCTCAAGTCACTCCTGACATGAAAAAAAAATCACAATCTACATCAGATGCTGGTATGGTGTGATTTGAGCATTTGAGTAAGACCCTGGGGACCAGGATTCAAATCTCGCTCAGCTATGGAAATCTACTGAGTGACCTTGGACAAGTCACAATCAGTCAGTTTCAGAGGAAGGCAAAGGCAAACCACCTCTGAACAAATCTTGTCAAGAATTCCCCATGATAGATTTGTCTTAAGGTCACCATAAATCAGAAACAACTTGAACACACATAGCAACAGCAAACAAGCCATTGTGGCTGTGGGAGCTAGTGGCCAAAACTGAGAGTACTTGATTATATTTCTTCCATAAATGATTAGACAAAAGATATTTTGTAGGTTCAAGAAACGCATCACTAATAAATTCAGGTCTGCAAAAATTCATTTAGTTCTGTGCAAGACAAGCTCAATTTTGATATTGACTAGCTCCTAGGAATGTAGTGCTTGTTTCTAATGGATGTCAAGCACTTCTGTGTGCCATTTGAAATATATATTCCAAAGAGCAGTGGTGCATACTAGAATTTTACCAGACAGTTTATGGATTTCTTCGTGTGTTTCTCCTGAAGTTGATGGACTTCTATAGCAGTTCAGACTTAATGGCCCCTGGTGAATGTGTTTTGAAGCAGAGTCGCAGAACAATTTATATATGATTCCTTTTGTTTTTGTGCAGCAGCAAAATAAAAAGTCCAAAAGTTGAAAGAAAAACAAAACATGAGTCATGTTGTCCTACCAGACGTATGTAAAGAGATAAGGCAAGAGAGTTACAATGAAGCAATCTATGGTGATCTTTACAGTAAGGGTGATACTGGAAAAATACTGCTGAATTGATATTATATATTTGTTTCTTGATTTTTTAAAGCTCACCATAGTTTAAACCAGTATGGTACAGTGGTTTGAACATTAGGGACCTTGAGTGGTCGTACTCCCAGCCCCAGGAAACCTGGTGATAGGTTAGCCTTAAAGTCGCCATTACTTGGAAATGACATGAAGATATACAACAACAACAACAACAACAACAACAACAACGCAAATGGATTAAAGTGATAAAATACAAGGTGATTATAAAACCAAAAAACAACAACAACAAAAAACAAACCCCAATCACCCATGGTAGAATTTTTAAAAAGCAGCCTAGGATAAAACTGTGAAAAGTGCTTATATTTCTTATATGTTGGATGGTATTGAAGCGTACCAAAGGCATATGGAACTAAAATTAATATATGAAGTAAGTGAACCTTTCTAGAGAGTGTTGTGTGCCTTCAGGTCATGTCCAATTTATGGGGACACCATAATGGGGTTTTCTTGGCAATATTTGTTCAGAGAGGATTGCCTTTGCCCTCCTTTGAGGCTGAGAGAGTGTGATGTGCCTGAGGTGACCCAGCGGATTCCCATGGCTAAATGAGAATTCAAACTCTGGTCTGAATTCTCATTCATAGCCCAGAGTTTCTCAACCTGTGGTCTGCAGACCACCAGTGGTCTGCAAGAACTAAATTATGGTCCATGGCCTCACTGAAACTACACCGTTACAACAAATAGGACTGGTCTCATGAAACCCTTTTATAGTGGCGAGGCTTATTAAATATGTTTTTCTGTGGATTAACAGATTGCAACTATTGGATAGCCTATGTTCTGTATCAGAAACTAGAGCTGATATGGTCTATCCCAGGCATATTTCCGTATCAGTACCCCAAATAACCAAACCAAATATAAAGTTGACCAAAAACTGATTCATAACCCTTTTAGTATTTATGTTGGAGAGTGGTCCCTGGTCAAAGTGGTCCCTGGTCAAGTGGTCTCTGGTCAAAAAAAGGTTGGGAACCACTGCTATAGCCAAATACTCAAATCAGTGCACCATGTTGACAGGATCCCAGCACTCATAAGAATGTGGAGCAACTGCAGCAGTTTGACATTATCAATGTATGCTTAGAGTTATAAAAATGAAAATAATGTTTGCTTTGTCTTCAATATAATAATGTAATATATAATAGATGTAAAAGTGAAATGAATTATTAAGACACTCTCTTCACTTGCTAACATTGTGTGTTCAAGATGCGAAGCACATTTTTGTGTAAGAATTGCTTGAAGTGGAGCTGTTTATTCCAACGAAATGACACTCTGTAGCTGACTAGTGATAACATGCCACAATATCTATTTTTCTGGTGCTTTGAGGTACTTCCAAGCTTGCCATTACAGCTGCAGGGGAAATGAATGTCTGGAAACTCCCTAATAGCTATATGTGTCTTTTTAAGATGTGAATAGCAACATTTCCCCCAGTTTGGGCATTACTATTTTTCTCCCTCCCAATTCATCCGCTGCTTTCAAATATGTGTTTTTTTCCTCTATAGATTGTCTTAAGTTTGATTCGCTTCAGTAGCTTATCGTGCTGAATGCCGTTTATCCCTGTACGCCTCGTGCTTTTCCTAGCCATGTGTTTGTGACAGAGAGGGAGGAAGAGAAGCAAAGAAGGCTTAGTTTAAGAGGCATCACTTGCCTGAGAGTGATTACAGCATCTTTAAAATTGTGGGAGCAGGAGCATGAATGGTTAGAGATGGGAATGAGTATGGCTGAATGGAAACAGTTAGAGCACATGTGCCAAGAAGTGTTTTGGGGTGCATCCAAAACATGTTACTCATTCAGAATGCTGGCCAATTCCACTATATTTATTTATTATGTCAACCACGATACAGCTTAAAGGATCACAGGCACCAGCCATTTTTAATATAACTGTATTTTAAACTGTTTTGAGTGTATTTATTGTAATGTTCATTTATGTTTTAGTTAATTATGTCCTACTGACTATTGTGTTATATTTTTCTCTCAGTGCTTAATTCTTCATGGTAAACTCACTATTATTATTGTGCTCTATTGTGTATTTTGATAAGTTTTTTGATATGTTTTGTACTCACTTAGGCATTGAATGTCTGCCTTATTCAGACAGGCCTTTGACCTTGTAGACTGAATGGGGTCATATGGCGCTGACACTTGGCACCTGTGAATTGACCGCAGTTAGTTTTATCTACTGTTGTTTTAAAATTGTATTGTTTTGATTTTAACATGTGTTGACAGGGGGTTGTTGTTATAATTTTATGTGACTTGTTTTATACTTTTGTACTGTTTTTACCGGTTGTATGTTATATGTGCACCCTGGAGTGCTTTGTAAGCTGCCCTGAGTCCCTTTGGAGAGATGGTGGCAGGATATAAATAAAGTCATTGTCATCTTCTCCCCTCCCTCCTCCTCCTCCTCTTCTTCTTCTGTGTAAACTGCCCTGAGTCCCTTCGGTGAGAGAGGGCAGTATAGAAAATTATTATTATTATTATTATTATTATTATTATTATTATTATTATTTGAAACACAACAAAATGAGTCCACAGCAGACACTCTGGTGGCTGTTGTATTGGATCACACGTCGGACACTTCCTGTGTGTAGGACTGTGTGATGTATTGGCGAATAATGCATGCAGATCCCAGTAAGGTGGCCTTCTGCAGCTGGTAGATGGTAATTTTGTCAGCGCCAATTGTGTTTAAGTGCAGGTCAAGGTCTTTAGGCAATGCACCCAGTGTGCCAATCACCACTGGGACCACCTTGACTGGCTTGTGCCAGAGTCTTTGCAATTCGATCTTTAAATCCTCATATCGTGTCAGCTTTTCCAGTTGTTTCTCCTCCTCCTCCTCCTCCTCCTCCTCCTCCTCCTCCTCCTCCTCCTCCTCCTCCTCTTCCTCTTCTTCTTCTTCTTCTTCTTCTTATTATTATCTGTACCATAGAATGAACCACTTTAACTGCCATGGCTCAATACTATGGTATCATGGTGGTTTCACAAGACTTTTAGCCTTCTCTGCTAAAAAGTGCTGGTGCCCTCACCAAGCTAAAAATCCCAGCATTCCATAGTATTGCGCCATGGCAGTTGAAGTGGTGTCAGACTGCATTTATTCTACAGTGTAGACGCAGCCTCTTGGTAAGATCTGGGAAAATTAAATTCTCAGCCTAATGGCTCTTCTGCACAGTCCCTGCATCCCAGGATCTGATCCCAGGTTTTCTTCTTTAAACTGGATTAGATGAGTCTGCACTGCCAGATAACCTGGTATAAACAGAAAACCTGGGATCAGATCCTGGGATATAAGGCCTGTCTGGAAGGGTTCTAAGTCCCATTGCTGACAGAAAGAACATTTTGAGAAACGTCTCTTATGCCTTCCTTCCTCAATCTTCTAGATGTCTTGGCCCACAACATGCAACTCCAAATGGGCACAAATGGTGGGTTGCAGTCCAGTACATCTACAAGTCTGTTGGGGAAAGCTGTCTTTAGAATGATTATAGAAACCACTGGGAAAAGAAGATACACCAGTAGGCTTTCATTTATAGGACATTTTCATAGACTTACATTGGGATAAGAAATGCTATGAAATTGATTGACTACTCTACTTGAACAGCCAGTAATCTTTTCTCCCTTCTTCCAACAGTTGCTGTCCTTCCTCGCCTTTGTCTGTGAAGAAGTCGTGCCCGAATGCACCAACTGTGGTGGACTTTACTTCTTCGAGTTTGTCAGCTGCAGTGCCTTCCTTTTGTGCATTGCGATCCTCATCATATATTGCACTCCTTTGTACAAGAGGACAGGGAAGAACATAACAGAACTTTTGGTAAAGATGGGCAAAATCTTTGGTAAAGATTTGGTTAATAATCCTGTGTAGGATTACTAGGAAGATCCCTCAACCTAGCCTTGCTTTGATGTTTTCCCCCTTAAAGGGCCCAGAAAACGTTGCCCTTTGGACAATCCAAACATGTAGTGACAACTGAAAATATTTCATGTCAACAGATTGAGAGAATTGTACCTAGGAGCTATAGAACTTGTCCAACAAGAAATAGTAATGGTGCTTTATTTTAAAGGCGTTGATCCCTTTGCCAGGAGCAAAATAATTTCTTAGGCCAGTGGTTCTCAGCCTGTGGGTCCCTAGGTGTTTTGGCCTACAACTCCTAGAAATCTGAGTCAGTTTATCAGCTGTTAGCATTTCTGGGAGTTGAAGGCCAAAACATCTGGGAACCCACAGGTTGAGAACCACTGTCTTAGGCGTTCTATGTCTCTTATACTTTATTGTTTCCATTTGATGTTTGATGTTTTCTCTTATGTCTGTTATAACAGGCTGTGTTTTTTATTTAATTTTAGTTGTTAAGTTATAATTCGTGTTTATATGTTGGATTGTTTAAATTTTGTTAGTATGGATGTATTGTTATTGTATTCGGGCATTGAATGTTTGCCTTTTATGTTTGGAATCCACCCTGAGTCACTTTGGGGAGATAGAGCAGAATATAAATAAAGTTTTATTGTCGAAGGCTTCCATGGCTGGAATCAGTGGGTTGTTGTAGGTTTTTTGTGTGCTGTATGGCTATGTTCTAGAAGCATTCTCTCCTGACATTTTGCCTGCATCTATGGCAGACATCCTAAGTTATTGTTGTTATTGTTGTTGTTGTTGTTGTTGTTATTATTATTATACTTTTAATGTCATGGTTTGTAAGTTTGTGGAATCAATCAACATTGAAATAAATGATGACATGTTAATTCAGTACTAGTAATGCTCCTGGGCAGAATAGGGAGATATGTAAGCTCTTTGTATGCCAGCATCTGTTCTGGTCCAGCTTTTCTATGCCAATAAACACTAGTTAGGAGCCGCTGTGGCACAATGGGTGAAGCCCTTGTGTCAGCAGGACTGCTAACTGAAAGGTCAGTGGTTCGAATCCCGGGAGTGGGGTGAGCTCCTGTATGACAGCTCCAGCTTCTCATGCAGGGGACATGAGAGTAGCCTCCCACAGGATGGTTAAAACATCCACCGTCCCGAATTGCAGATGACCAATTCTCTCATACCAAAAGCACCTTGTGGTTTCTCAAATTGCTCCTGACACATACACACGCACACACACACACACACACAAAACCCTAGCTGATTGACAGGAGATAGTCTGGGAAATAGGAATGAGTGAAGAATATGCACGAGCTCATAGCCTGTCATGTTTTGCTGTTTGCGTAGGCTTACAAAGGCATTTTTATTCATAAAGGTGACAAGTTAAATTGCTTTTTAAACAACTGTATCTAATACCTGTTTCATTCTCCTTTATTCCAAGGGCAGATTTTCCACATCTAAATTTCCTGTTGACAATTATTCAGCTAGCATTTGCTTTAAAAACTACTGATGGTGTGGTGCAGCAGTTAAAATATACAACAGTCTTTTTTTTTTAAAGGGAATATAATATCTATAATATGAAACTATTCTTCCTTCTAAGGATACGTCATTGGAGTAATCACCATGATTAATTTGATGCCCCATTAAAATAATTAAGTGAGGAAGAAGGGATTTTTTTTTAAAAAAAAAAACCAGTATGTTGAAGTAGTTTCAGAGGTCATCCTTGAGCCAAGGGAATTGAGTTTTAGGCTTAGCTCAACCACAAACTTACTAAGTTGCCTGGGGTTACTGTTTCTTATCTTCACCACCTATACATTGGGAATTGTATGTAACCTTGTCATACGTTTTTGTGTGGGTAAACAAAACAAAGATTGCCATATTTTGACCATGGAAAGTGCTGCCATCCAAGATGATGGGAATTGTATGTAACCTTGTCATGTTTTTGTGAGGGTAAATTTTGCAATATTTTGACCATGTAAAGTACTGCCATCCAAGATGATAGAATGATTTATTTGTATTGTTCTTATTTCATGATTTCTACTGTGAAGAGTAATAAACTGACCGCTTTGATACTAACCATATTTTCACTTCATTTCTAGGATCTGTGCGTTGTTATAATAATACTATGCTTCTTCGCACTAGCTTCATTTGTGTTTTCTGCAACCAGTGATGGGACAACAATTGAAACTGTTGCTCTTGTAAGTATATGGCCGTACTCTTCTCATTCTTCGCCTTCTTCTATACTGGGGAAAGCAACTGTTGGAGGTCGGTGATGCATTAGCTCTCCAAAAGACCTTTGGCGATTGCACTCCTCACTGTCTGAGCTCCCACAAATAAAATGAAAAGCATTTGCCCCCCATCCCACCCCCAACAGCCTCTAGGACACTTGGATTTTCTCTCTCCATATTTTGGGACTTTCTAGGGTCTCTAGAGAGTATTTGGGAGCAAAACATTTTTTTAACTTTTGCATTGTTTTTCAATCCCTAGGGGCCTCAATGGGCTTCAAAAGTGATGAGAAAATGCTTCCATACTCCCTAGAGGTCATTTTCGGACAACACTTTTTTTTGTATCCCTGAGGGTGCTGCATGTAGACCACACTTTGCCCACCCATTTTGTTGTTTAGATCAGTGGTTCTCAGCCTATGGGTCCCCAGGTGTTTTGGCCTACAACTCCCAGAAATCCCAGCCAGTTTATCAGCTGGGAGTAGAAGGCCGAAACATCTGGCCAAAACAGGTGGAGAACCACTGCTCTAGATAGAATGAGCATTGCTCTTTAGTTCTCATCTCCTGGGTTTAGAGGAAGCTAATACAAAAGGGATACTATACTAGAAGAAATGCAGCTTGGATACTTTTTTGAACTCTTGCTGCCCCCCAGCCAGCATGGGTTGCAGGCTAAGGATTGCAGTTTCGAAAAGTAACTTATTATTTGCACACTAAATATCATTATGGGTTTTGCTCTTGTTGCATCAAATTAAATGCTCCTTCTGAATTATTTTTCTGGGGCTGAGTTTAGATTTTAAAATGAAAGGAGTTGTCAAATTTGACCAATTTTGTACACTGTTGTTTGGGCACAAATTGTTGCTACTGATTTTGTTAAGCTGTTCAAAACTGAGAAGAAAGAAAAGGAGAAAAAACTTAGATTTTTTTTAAAAAAAGATAAATGAATATGGCAAATATAATTTTAAAACAGTGTTCAACATTGATGAAAAGAGGGAATAGGCAAGGAGCTAGATGGAGGGAGAAATGTGATCACGGCAAGATTAGAATCTGTTCTTTGAAGTTTTCCATTTTGCTATCAGAACTTAAAGTAGCTTAGAACACATCAGGTGAGTAGAATATACATTTGAGCGGCAGAAGAGATACACTGCATGAGGCTCTTAATGGTTTTGTGGTGATAAGCCAGAAAGGAAGCTAAAGGAAATAACATGGTGAAGGTTTGGTTTTGGCATTGAATGCACACACAGAAATTAATAATAAGCCATTCTGCAATAGAGGGCCTTTCAAATTATATAAAAGATTGGCTGTACTGTTGGTTTTTGTGTGTGTGAGAGAAACTGTAAGTCGCTTCTGGTGTGAAAGAATTGGTTGTCTGTAGGGATGTTGCCCAGGCAATGCCTGGATGTTTTACCATCTTGTGGGAGACTTCTCTCATTTCCCCACACTCTCGCTGGAGCTGACAGATAGGAGCTCACCCTGCTCCCAGATTTGAACTGCTGACCTTTTGGGTTTAACCCATTGTGCCACCGGACGCTCCTATTGGTGCAAGAAAGCAGAATGCATAACTCAAGCAGCTTTAGTAGGATTATGGAGTGGAGGAGGTGTTGCAGTTGCAACTGCTATAACTGCTAAGTCGTACTAGGAAAAAGAAAAAGGATTTGATATAAGAGGGACTTTCTAATCGGGGATGTCAAACTCATTTTCATTTGAGGCCATGTCAGCCTTATGGTTGCCTTCAAAATTGGCTGTTGAATCCACGGACAAAGAATTGGTAGACACAGAAGGCTGACTATAATATTTTTACATAGTTATAGTTGTGCTCTTTAATGTTTACCAAATTGGAGTCTCCTATCACTTTTGATTATCTGCGTGCAGGCTGGGGCTAATGGGAATTGTAACCCAACAGCACTTGTGGCTTTGAGCTTGGGAAAAAGTTAAAGGACATGTTAAATTCAGACATCATATCCACAACCCCTGTATTTCAATCCAAACTCCACTTTCCTAACTAAATAGAACAAGCTGCAGCCTTCCAGATGTTACTGTTTCACAACTCCCATCAGTTCTAGTAATGTTGTCTAATAAGGAGGAATTCAGGAGTTGTCATCCAGTGTCTGGAGGGTCACATAAAAGGACATGGTAGGCTGGATTTGGCCCATGGGCCTTGGGTTTAACACATATGCTCTAAGTTAAAACTGTAGTTTATTGGATGCAATACATTTTATTCACCTAGGTCAGTGGTTCTCAACCTGTGGGTACCCAGATATTTTGGCCTACAATTCCCAGAAATCCCAGCCAATTTACCAGCTCTTAGGATTTCTGGGTATCGAAGACCAAGACATCTGAGGACCCACAGGTTGAGAACCACTGTAGTTTGTCAGATATACTAAATTTTATTCACCTAGGTCAGTGGTTCTCAACCTGTGGGTCCCCAGGTGTTGGGCTACAACTCCCAGAAATCCCAAACAGTTTACGAAATGTTAGGATTTCTGGGAATTGAAGGCCAAGACATCTGAGGACCCACAGGTTGAGAATCACTGCTCTAAATCAAATCTGTAGTTTATCAGATATAATAAATTTTTTCACCTAGTTCAGTGGTTCTCAAACTGTGGGTCCCCAGGTGTTTTGGGCTACAACTCCCAGAAATCCCAGCCAGTTTACCAGCTGCTAGGATTTTTGGGAGTTGAAGACCAACACATCTGGGAACGCACAGGTTGAGAAGCACTGACCTAGGGTTTCCTCCCTTCTAACTCTTGCAAATCTTACTAGACTGCCTGTTCTGCTGCTGCCTGTAGGCCACAGCCCAAAGTTCACTACTCACGAGTCACAACGTGCCCTTCAGTGTATGGACCGTTGTCTTGTGTTGCCTGCCTACCACCATCTTTCAGAACACACACACACACACACAAACAAACATATGGTGATATTGCAAAGCGGTTCTTGAATTCTTTTGAATTTAATGGACATTTATGCATAGATTTCTTTCCCCCTTTTGTTTTGACAGGTATTTGGATATCTTGCAACTCTTGCCTTTCTTGCCGATGCAGTTCTATCAGGTTATAAGAAGTGGAAAGCAAAAAAAGAAGGGCAGCCAGAAAACACAGCCAACAACCTGAATCCAAGAGAGAACGAACCTCTGAATAACCAACCAGCCTAAGCTCTAAACCACAGCAACTGCTTCTTGTTCGGTGCTGAGTGAAGTGGAAAACAGCCTACCTTTTAAGGTGTCAGATTGTTAATTTGTATTTCGGTTTTTTAATTCACCGTCCTCATATTTGATCTATGTACACTATCTGTTCATATGCAGTTCCTGAATTGTGGTTTCCTCATATCCACCCTTAGAGGATGAATTTGCCTAGGTGTCCCCTCTCTATGTGTTACTACATTCAGTAATAAATAGGCTGCAGTATGTTCCGAAAAGAAGGGATCTTAAAATAAACTTGTATAGTCCTACTGAGATAAATTTTAGATAACAGTATGCAGAGCATTAAGTGTTTCCATTTGAGAATAAAATTAGTTCAGTAATGTAGGTGGGATGGAGCAGTGCTTGAAAAGAAACGGAGAATAGGTGGCCTTCTTTGTACATATCTATACCACATGCTTTAAAAAGTGGAAACATAACATCTGTTATGGTGCGATCTATGCAACTTCCATACACACATATAACAGTAGCGGGTCACATTTCAAAAAACAGTCTGATTTCGACATATCCTAATTTTCCTTCCCTCTTATACTACATCTCCCCTGACTATAAACTACAAACGTAAGACAAATTTTAGGGGTTTTATTGATAGTATTTTGAACAGTAAGGCTTTTATTACATATTTTAAGAATTGCACTGTGAGGTGCTACTTTCCCCTGGGTTTTAGTCCCTACCACAACAGTCAGAATTTAATGTTCCTTTGATTTCTTAGCAGGAAAGGGTTTCTATAACAATTTTATATTTTTCATACCATGCATACATTGTCCCATTGTGCACTAACTTTTTTCTACATAAGGTCTTGGAAAATTGAGATAACTATAAATATATATTAGGTATACACTTCTTCAGGGTAGACACAATGGATTATGTCCATGTTCTGTCTTTTACTATTTTTTAAAAATAGCTAACTAGATTTTTTTTCTCATGTCAGGAGCGACTTGAGAAATGGCAAGTCGCTTCTGGTGTGAGAGAATTGACCATCTGCAAAGACGTTGCCCAGGGGATGCTCGGATGTTTTACTATCCTATGGGAAGTTTCTTTCATGTCCCCGCATGAGAAGCTGGAGCTGACAGATGGGAGCTCACCCCACTCCCTGGATTCGAACGGCCAATCTTTCGGTCAGCAGTCTTGCCAGCACAAGGGTTTAAGCCATTGTACCACGGGGGCTCTGAGCTAACTAGATAAAACTTCCTTCCATTTATTGAATTTTTGGAGAGAAAATATATAAGTGAAAGCAACCTTTAATCTCCTCTCAAATTCTATTTGTAAAAAAATTAAAATTGTCATTCTGACATATCATTTATGAAGTTGCTTATTTCTGCAGTTTCTTTTGTTTTTCAAAGTCCATACACAAATAGGCAGAACTTAGAAAATTTATTTTTTATGAACGAATACTGATTTGCTGGCTGCAGGATTCTGGCAGCTTGTGTTCATTATTATGGTCCCAACTACAGTAGTGCTGTTGAATCAGTGGAACTTCCCTAAGGGTTGATTTGCCAAATTAGTTCATTAAATGCAAACTGATAATTGGATTTTGTACCTCCTCCCCAAGTAAACATTACAAACTATGGAATAAATATAGTAGGACATGTTTATCCCAGAAGGTTTTTACAGGTAGAAAACTTGTGTGTGTATTATAACCAAAGCAAAATACCCATTGTCAGGTGTTGTGAGATATTGTCACAACTGACCCTATATTTACCAGGATAAGACTTGATATCATGCCGCCCACTGGAGCTGTGTTAAAATCAGAAAGGAGGTGCAGTTTCCACTAAGGTCTATCTTGGAACAAAATTTTAGAAATGTAGGATATCAGTGGAATTTGGGAACAGGGAACCATTTTTGCTGCAGAGTGAAGCTTGCTCTGTTGTGGCTTCTGCTATTTATTAATTGGAATTGTTTTTAGACAGTTTTAATTGACTAAACTTCATTCCTCAAATATTCTACAGAATTTACTTTCTAGGATTTCTGTTACCAGACTTGAAAGTCAAAGTGGTTTTTTTTTTTACAAGGTGGTTAATTCACAAGCATTTATTAATGAAGGATATTTGGAAAAGATGTGAAAGCAGTTTTTTTTCATGTCAGGAGCGACTTGAGAAACTGCAAGTCGCTTCTGGTGTGAGAGAATTGGCCATCTACAAGGACATTGCCCAGGGAACACCAGGATGTTTTACCTACCGGGAGGGGGATCTCTCATGTCCCCCCGCATGAGAAGCTGGAGGTGACAGACGGGAGCTCACCCAACTCCCGGAATTCAAACTGCTGACTTTTCGGTCAGCAGTCCTGCCAGCACAGGGTTTAACCCATTGCACCACTGGGGGCTCCTGTGAAAGCAGCTGAGACCTTATTTCCTATGTGTGTGCAAGGAGAGACCAATAGCCTCATCACACTAGAGAATGAATCCACTTTAAATCTGGTTTCTGCCTCCTGCAGAATTTTGTGGTTTGTGGTTTAAGGAGATGCATTTAATAGCCTCACTAAACTACAAACCCCAGCATTCTGCAGGAGGCAGAAACCAAATTTAAAGTGGATTCATTCTCTAGTGTGATGAAGTAGCAAGGCTATACGTTGCATACTTTCCCCCAAGTAAGCCTCACTGAATACTGTAGGGTTTAATAAACATGCATAGGATTGTGCTATAAAGTTTAGTCTACGCTTAAGAATAATTTTGTGCATTAAGTTGTGAAATACAGTTTATGGACCTGACTGGCAATATACAATGAAGGTCAAGCTAGTAACCAGGGTTTTTTCCCACTTGGTTGGGTGATAGTAGACAGTACTTTTGCTTGTAAGCAGGGGAGGAATCATGAGGCTCTCCAGCTTTTGTTGAATTCATTCCCAACCTGTGGTTAGGCTGGCAAAGTCTTCTGGGACTTGTCCTCAAGAAGCACGATTCCCGCAAGTGCCTTAGAACGTTTTGTTTTGTTCATGTTAAAATCAAAGTCATGCAGAGTTGTAATGGTAGTCACCTATCTGCAAGTTTGTAAATGTCCACCTGACGAGCTGTCCTTGTAGAGCAGGAATACCAAAACTCCGTTTCTCCAGGTGTTTTGGATTTCAACTCTCAGAAGCGTCAGCCACTGGAAACTGAAGTCCAAAACACTTGGAGTACCATAATTGGTACTCCTAATTCTCACATGACCTTGGAGGTGTCTACAGACAACGCCGGCTCTTCGGCTTAGAAATGGAGATGAGCACCACACCCCAGAGTCGGACACGACTGGACTTCATGTCAGGGGAAAACCTTTACCTTTACTAATATAAAGGAAGAAGAACTGCTATCTTGCAGGGGAACTCTGTAAAACTGAAAAAAATTAAGTTTATTCTTCTTTACAAGATGTGTTTTAACATACCGGGGGTGCAGGGTATTTATTTACAGGCTTCTTTTTCACTTGTATCAACACAAATTGTGCTTGTATTTTTTTTTCCTCGACAAAACTTATCTCTGATTTTTTGAGAGGCCATTGTTAACTTTGTTGTTGCTTGTAAGTATGTCGGCTATTGAATTGGACCTGTGATATTGTTGAAAACATTTTGCAAACGGAAAGTGGCTCTCCCCAAACTCAGGTTATACCCCTTCAAGACTGAACCACCCCTCATCCCATTCAACAAGGTCCTATGACCCTTTGTTGAACAATCATCTGCCAGCCTCATTATGTATGCTTAAATCTGAATGCGATTCAATGTACTAAATGTATAGGAATCTTGCTGACTGTAATAAACTTAGTGGGACTTACATGTTCAGGTTTGTGCTGCCAAACAGCGTACTAGGGGTACTCTAAAACAGTTTAACGTCTTATTTCTAGAATGCTGTATATATCCCTTTTGGAATAAATGTGGGATTACCAGCTTTTGCACAAATATTATTTTGGTTTCAGGCTCAGGCTGATTTTAAATATCGTTTATCTCTCTGCCTCTCAACTAGTATGTGTATTTGCCCACAACTTTGACAGTAACACACAGTAAATATGAATGACTCAAATTCCACACTGCAATTAATAATTTTGGAGACTTAACATGAAATATTATTGGATCTATACTTAAGACTCTCTTATAGTAGACCGGCGGTATATAGAGCAGAGATAAGGATAATGCAGCCATGCCGATGTGATCAGAGAGTATTCCTGACTGCTGGCTATGAGGGCAGGACTGCTGAAACATTCAGTCCGAGACATGAAGCACTGCCTGATTCTGACTCCTGAGGCAGAACTCCTGAAATTAAGAATTGCTAATTTAGACCCTGTTGATTGCAGTGAGTCTAATGGCCCTTCCACACAGCCATAAACCAGAGTATCAATGCAGAAAATCCCCCTTGGTTATTTGAGTCCACCCTGCCATATATTCCAGTTCAAAGCAGAAAATATTCAGCTATATGGAAGGGACCTAAGTAAGGGCACACCTGTTAACCCCATTGCACTTCCATGCCATGTTGGCTGTGGGATTCTGGGAGTTGTTGCCCAAAAAAGTAACATCCCCAACTTCTGAGTTGAAGGGCACACACTTTGCAGTGTGGGATCAAAAGAGCTGCTTTTGAGTTTGTGTATGCTGAGCTGAATATTTCATTTTCACCCTATGTATAGTCGATCCCCATGTCGATAACTATAAGATATTAAAATATGGTTTGTCACAAGGCACGGAGAAATGGGTGCTGGAGAGAGATAAGCCTAACATCTGCCTGGACACAAAGAACTCATTGCACTGTGGTTTGGATGCCAGCCAGAGAGACTGTCTTGTAAAGCCCATCTGTAATGTCGAAGTCATTTGAAACAGGGACAGGAGTAAAGATAGGAAGACAACTGTGTACTTTGAAAAAAAGAGTAATAGGATTTCAGAATCAGGGAAACCATATTGATTATAGAATAAATCGTGGTAAATGCTTTGTGAACATTTCTGAATTGGAATAAGTCTGAGCTGGAATGTCTTATAAACATGTATTTGGAGATGTATGATATGGAAAGAAAATGTTTTTGTTGAAGGCATTCATGGCCAGAATCACTGGGTTGCTGTGAGTTTTCCGGGCTGTATGGCCATGTTTCAGAAGCATTCTCTCTTGACGTTTTGCCCACACCTATGGCAGGCATCCTCAGAGGTTGTGAAGTCTTTTGGTTGTGAGGTTTGTTATGTATCCACAGATATATAAACCTTACTTGCCTAGTTTCCAACATATCCCACAACCTCTTAGGATCCTGCCATAGGTGTGGGTGAAACATCAGGAGAGAATGCTTCTGGAACATGGCCATACAGCCTGGAAAACTCACAGCAACCCATGGAAGAAAAATCTCTGTACATTTATTAATAGCTTATTCATTCCACATTTGTGCCATAGTCTTTTTATAATCTATTTTTATTGTCTGCTTTTATCACTCAATCATTTTGTAATTGTTTTTATTAAAAATTGTAGAAGGCATGTTGTTCAGCATTTGTCTTATTTCAGCTGTTACTAATTTGGTAGCAAAAAAAGGCCCACTTATGGGTATTATTCCTACAGATCAGAGCGCAGAAGGTGCTTCTCTATATATTAGACTGTTCCTCTGGGGCTCTAAAAAGGAGTTAACAACAATGATTATTACTAGGTGATTAAAGATTATATGGTGCATCACATCCGGGAAAAATTTGGATTATTTCTAAGCAAATTAGCTGAGCAAAAACAAATTGTGTGTTCGACATAAACCATCTGTTATTCAAATTTTCAGAAATATGATACAGATCTGCTCTGCTTCTCCTACTGTGCACCCTAATTTCTGTGGTCTTTCTGCTACCAATTCTGCAGCAAATGGGTTGTTTTTTTCTTTTTAGACTAAAGTCTTACTCCACTTCACCAGGCAGGAAACATGACATTCCTATTTCTTGTTCTATGCAGTGTCTTTCATTTATTTCTTCAAAGAACATATATGCTTCTCTCTTGTCATTTATACTTATAGAAACCCTATAGAGTAGGAGAAATGGAAAGATGCTGGCAGATGCAAGTATCACTGTTGAATTGGGGTCTGAAGCTGAGTCTATCCTGATGAAATGCTCTAAATCATGCTTTTTAAGATTGTCCTTGGTTGTTGATTCTTATGGGCTTACAATATAGATCCATGCCTGAAAGCCTGCCCAACATGATACAGAATAGACATATAAACTGAGCAGCTGAAAATGTGAAATATTGGGATCGCTTATTATGCTGCATCTTTCCTCATTCAAATAAGGGATTAAATTCAAAGATATATCCACAATAGTCTAGAATATCAGTATCTAAAGGGGATCTTGTATCAACTTTGAGATTAACCAAGAGTTGGTAGCATAAGTTTTCATAGTCTAAGGAAACAAACTCCATCTACAATAATTGGGCCTCCTGGAGGCACAGTGGGTTAAATCGCTGAGCTGCTGAACTTAATGACCGAAAGGTTGGCAGTTCGAATCCGGGGAGTGGGTTGAGCCCCCATTGTTAGCCCTAGCTTCTGCCAACCTAACAGTTTGAAAACATGCAAATGTCAGTAGATCAATAGTACTGCTTTGGCAGTAAGGTAAAGGTGTTCCATGCAGTCATGCTGGCCACATGGCCTTGGAGGTGTCTATGGACAACGCCGGCTCTTCAGCTTAGAAATGGAGATGAGCACCACCTCGCAGAGTTGGACACGAGTATACTTAATGTCAGGGGAAACCTTTACCTTCCTTACAATAATTGATGCTACCAACTTCATTCTTCTCTGTAAGAGATTAAATGTTGGAGCACATTTGAAAAGGCTAAGCTATGTCTTCTCTGCTGTTCTTCACTGTCATGCCACTTACCATTAAAAACAGTCTCTATCAGTGCAAAGGTTAAATGTTCATTTTAAGGAAGACAGAAAATCTCTTATAAGCTTGTTCTTAACTGCTCACCTTATTCATTGTTTAAATAAATAATTGAAAGCCATTTTATGGCAGGTCACAAAGGTGTTTCTTTTTATCTACTCCAAGATATTTTTTTTGCGCTGGTTGGCCTACAGGGACTTTGATCAAAAGTCTGTCCATCACCTGTTTCATTTTAAAACTGGAGATGCCAAGAATATATAATCTGGGAACTTCTACGTGCGCCTTACTATAAATTTTAACTTTACCAACACAAGAAGCTTGGTAGGGGATTAGATGTCAAAACACAAAAATATATTTTTTTTAAAAAACAATATAATATATAATAATCATCATAACTTTATTTTTGTATCCTGCCGCCATCTCCCCGAAGAGACTCAGGGCGGCTTACGTGGAGACAAACCCGTCAAACATAGAGTGAAAACATAGCACAATAAGAAATTATAAGAACAATCATCATAAAACCAATATACATCATCAGTCAACCCATGAACTGACATCGTAATCAATTACTAAACTCGGATGGGTAAAGGCTTGTGCAGTAAAGTTGTGCAGTAAAGTTGTACAATAAAGCAAAATATAGCATTTGCCATAAGCCAAACTGCTTTGTTTGTGTTGCCGATTTATTCCTGCCACTTCTAGAGCAAACAGAGAAAGAACACTAAAACGGCCTTCAGTGTAAATTCATTTGCCACGATAGAGGGTTACAGTAATTTGAACTGGAGCTAATCCAAATAATTAAGAAACTTGTTAATGTTGTTATAGAGAGTGTTTGAGGTAATTGCAGTACACTGCCACTTAGGCATTTTGAGTGAATTTTCTACTTGCCACATGCAGAAATATATTTCCAAGCACATGCTATATAGGTTAATTCCAGCATGCCTCCTTGAATCAGATTTGTTGTAGAGGCCTCCCGAGACTACTGAAAAACATAAACTGTAAAAACACTTGGGCCGGTCTGCTGTTTCCAAAACACAGCTCCCAAAGGAATGCCCGGAGCATTGTTTATGCAGGCAAAGAACAGGTGAGCTTTTGTTTTTAATGATGTCATGATCTGTGTGTATAGCTATATTAAGTCACATGTCAGAGTACATACAAAATGTCACATGGACTTGAGGAGTCTTTGGGGAAAAAATCTCCTGTGAATTTAGAACCATTGCATCCAAGAATATTTATCTCTTCGTTTGAGAACTCCGTAACTGACATATGCTTTGGAGTCATGGAACAGCTATGATTTTCAAAAGGATAATTGGGCAACACTGGAATGGAAGTACCATGTGGCATATTGAATGTCTTTGCTAAAGGGGGAATCACTTATTCATAGGAATTACCTAATATCTTAACAAAAGACGATTCTGAGTACTGAGGGTCTTCCTCCAGGGGCAAACCAAAAATGGGAAACTTGGAAGTCCCTGAACAGGCACAGAAGTGGAGTGGGGAGATCAAAAGACAACATGAATAAAATAAAAACAGAAAAATATAATGAATTAGAAAAAAGATGGTATTAAGATGGTATAGAACCCCTGAACAACTGGCTTATATGGTAAAAGGGATGAATTCAAAGTGTTGGCCTGTAATAAAGAAAAAGATACTTATTCACAAATGTGGTGGGAGTGTTCTGAAATAAAACAATTCTGGCAAAAAATAAAAGCAAAAATTCAGGAGCTATTGCAGATAAAAATTCAAATTAATAATGATTTACTACTATGGGGAGTGTTGGATCACAAGAATATATCAATCAATTACCAGGAGTTATTTAAAGTAACAATAAGAGCAGCACATGCGGTGATCGCTAGAGGATAGAAAGACAAATTGAAATGAACATTAAATAATTGGAATGATTATATGTATGATCAAGTGTTGTTAGATATTACGGGAATTATGACTAAGCAAGCAATAAGAACAGACAAACAAAATGACATTATACATAGGTGGAAGGTCTACTTCAACTGGGTGAAAAACGGAGAAGCCAACCATTACATCAAAGAAAAAAATAAAAAGACTTCACCAGTGGCTGGATCTGCAGGATTAGTAGAAATATTCTGTGGTTGAGGAGGGAGGGAGAGGGAGGGGAAAATATAATTTACATACGTGTATACTAGCATAATGCCATTAATATTTGTTGAATGACTTGGGATTTATGCTTGTAACACTTGGAATATGGTTTGCTGATTTGTGTTTATATCATAATAAAATATGTTTTTTAAAAAAACAAAGCGAAAGACAACCTGGCAAAATGGTACTACCTAGAAGAATTCTCCACCTTGTGTTGCTGTGAAGCAAAACAAACAACTCCACATATGTATGCTTGTCCACAACACGCTGCTTTATTCACAGAGGGAAAATTGTTTAAAGCTACAGACAATATGGTTGCTGTTGTCTGTTTTTGGTCAAAATTATTTAACCGCTTGTGTTTTCCCTATTTTTATCAGCTTTATACTTATTTATGCAGTGCTTTTGACATGAAATAAAAAATACCCCATTCTTAACTATGAGGCATTTGTAAACTGGGTGTTTGTAACTTGGGGACTCCCTGTGCTTTGTTTTCCTTTTCTGTAACCATCACCTTTTATTACATCTACAGTCTTTTAAACATACTTCTCTGTTGGGTGCAGTATGTGCTCAATCTTGATTATCCTTGTCAATCCTTTCCCCTTTTTCAAACTCAACTTTTAACAATGCATCTTTTACTTTAAAAGATGTACAAAAATTAGGACACGTCCTTGCTGTTTCTAAAAAGGAAAGTTGGGTCAGGTTTTTTCCCCATCCTTATGTTTGCCTACTGTTTGTGAAATTGAAGCGCACCGAGATCATAATTGGTTTGCTCCCATGCATGATAAACTGCTGTGTATGCAATATTAATGAAGGTTTCCCCAAGTCTGTAGCCGTAATGGCCTCAGCGCTTGAGCTCTTCGTGGCCTGGCCTCTCATGCAAAAACAATTCACCCACAAAGAGCACCTCACATGAACCATCTCTGGTTGATTAGAGCCTTTCTTAATGCAATGCTTCATTTTGTGCTCTAAAAGTGCTAGTGTACCTCTGGTATGACAATAATAAATGTTAATTAATGGCACTGGTCTATATGAAAATGACAGACAGAGGTGTCTCCTCTCCAATTCTTCTGTTTTTCCTGTCTATGGGAAGGAAACAAGTATTATTTTCCCAAAATGCCATGGGAAATTGAAATAGATACATATTAGGCCTGTTGCAAATGGAATTATAAAGACAGCGTAGGAAGAAAATTGAAATCCGTGACAAATATTTCTGCTACCAGGGCAAAAAGAGACACCTTGTGAGTAACTACAGGGTTAGTGTCAGCCAAGAGATAGAAAATCTATTGGAGTTTACCTGGTTTTAATTAGATAGAAAAGAGATAGAAAATCTATTTGGGTTTAACTGGTTTTTAATTATGCAGGTGCGAGTCCATACAGTACGTAGTATTTTAAGGATGCATCTTGCTATATATAAATGTAGCATTTTAATGATTTATAGGATTTTTTTGTGTATTTTATATTGTATTCAATAATCTGGTTTTCATGTGTCAGCCAAGTCAATAATCTGGTTTTCATGTATTTATCTATTTGCCTTCTATGTGAAAGACCTATGGTCTAAGCATTGAATAAACAGAAACAGAATATTATTTGGAACTGGTGTTTGTCCCTACAACTTTTTTGTTAGGTTTGCCTTAAGAGTCCAATGAATACTTCTGTTGTACTTTGGGAGAGCATTCATCTCTTTAAAAATGCAGCATAAGCAGTATTTTGAACGCAATTCGTGGAATCCCAAAATGCTGCCAAATTTTACATTGTGCAATGGAATCTGTGGTGACTAAAGAACTGAATTATAAACATCCAACAAACAAGATCGCAGCTTGAACAAAACCTTCCTTTGGAATAGCTGTCATCCGAATTGACCACAACTAAATTGCTCATTTAGAAAAGTGGATGATGATTAATTTGGTTTCACGAGGGTCTTTCTCACCAAAGGAGCCACTTACCTCATAGACATGTATCAGTGCTGGAAAGTCATGTCAAATCCATCAGAAAAGATGACAGAGTGAAGTGTGATAACTGCTTTAAAATTTTGTCATGAATAAAATATTTACAATGAACTAAAAAGGCCATGAGGATACAGAGGAAACAAGTTCTTTTTAAAGGAAATATTCACATTGAGCAAATTAATAACAACTTATACAAAATGTTTTGTGCCATCAGGCACTAAAAGCCAGGAGAGGCAATCTTGAGGAAAAGACTTATCAGTTTCTACTAAAGACGTCACAGTTTGTGCTTCATAGAGGATTTCTGAAAGCATTTTCTTGCCACAGATGAATGTTTCAGGCAGTTCCTAATTCACATTTCCTTCCCAGGTGGTTTGAAAAAGCATGGAGCTGACTCAGAGCAGAAAGCATAAAACCCTGACATTTAGATTTCAAAGAGGATGGTTTCTCTCCTGGTTCAATGAAAAGAAAAGATACACCAGGATACTTAAAGATGACATTTCACAATTTGTGGGTTCCAAAATGTTGGCTGATCAAATGTAGGCACTAGGCATGAAGGCAATGCAGTGTAGAAGTTATGGCTGCTGCTCCCAATTTGGAAAAGGAATTTGAGAAGAATCAGAGGAAGAAAGCTCTTTGGTGGTCAGTCCATGGAGAAAAAGGTCTTGAGAGCCAAGAGAAAAAGATCACCAATATAATGTTCCTTCACGCATGTCCCCACAATCTCTTCTCTTGGCATCGAGTCTCTATAATTTGGTGTACATACATAGCGAGCCCAGCAAAAGACTCATTCATACAGTAGCATCTGAAAGAAACAAATCGGGAAGAGCAGGGAAGGAGAAACTGAATTCTAAAACACTCCAATTTCTGAAATGGTCCACGTGCGTGGATGAGATTGTGATATCTTTGCTTTCTGATGATTTAGTGCACACAAACTTTGTTTCATGCACAAAATTATTTTTAAAATGCTGTGTAAAATTTCCTCAAAGCTATGGTTATAAAGTTTATATGGAACATAAAGGATTTCATGTTTAGACTCACCTGTTGATTGAGTGATGCACGAGACTTTGTAGGATAGCCATATGCTCAAGATGCACAGGAATGATGCTAAAAAGCCAAAGGCCTGTTTAAAAGGATATGAGAACAAAACCTATAAATTAATTACAGAAACTAATGTAAAGAATCCTATATGTCTTCAGCAGATTTTAAAAATGTACCCACTACTAAAGAATATGTTCAACTTGCATGCATCATGTTGACACAAACATCTGTTGAATGTAAATGAAGCTTCTTGTTTCAATGGCTGTTTTCTGAGACCTCCATATACTGGACTAGTATACTGTTTAATTCGAATGGAGACAAAAAGTGATCTTATCTAGCTATGATCCAGCATAGCTAGATAAGATCCAACATAGCTGCAGAGGACCAGATAGGTGCAGTGGTCCTAAGAGGACATGGGTGGGGACCTGTAGTGTGGCTGCCCAATGGTGCCAAACAGTGTGACTGGACAGTGGGGACACCCTTCTGTCTCCAATGAAACTTGGGGAGTTGCATTGAAAATACCATGTGGCATCTGAATGTTAGATCAGGCCCACATTAGTTGTCAGTTTAAAAGGGACCTTAGTTTCCGGAGCAGCAGGAACAAGCTTGCTCCCTCCTCAACTTGACATCCTATGAATATTTAGACATACCACCTTACCAGCTTCCTTTCCCCAAACTAAAAATACCCAGTTCCTCATAAGGTTTGGCTCCCAAGCCATTGATTTTTTTTATCACCTTCTTCAGAATACATTCCAGAATTGGACACGGTATCCCTGGTGGGGTCTGTTCAAAACCAAATAGAGTGGGACTCTGATTTTCCTCAATCTTTCTAGACACAATGCCCCTAATGATGTAGCCTAGAATTACATCACATTGGATTTTTGAATGGTCGCATCACACTGTTGACTATGCTCAGCTTGTCATATTTTTTTTCCTCAAGAAGATACACAATGGCTTATTTTCAGGAGATGCCTTATTTTTTATTAAGTATGGTATAACAATCTACATTTATTCAAATATAGTGCTGGATAAAATGGCAGCCACAGCTTTACTTCTTCCCTCTGAGGACACACAATACCTAAAGCAGAGTGTCCTGCTCCTCACTTCATTGAGGAGACTTTCTGGGGGACAGGCTAAAGTGAAGCAGCACCTCCAACTGCGGTCCTGTTGGAGCTGTTGAATCATTCCCTCTCTCACTCACTCACTCAGGGAGGAAGCCTTGCTTTGCCTGGTCTGGCCCGAAGGGAAGAAAGAACAGAAGGAGGAAGGGGAAAAGGAGGAGGAGGAGATGGAGGCAGGAAGTGTGAGAGAGGCCTGGACTCACCTCCACCGCTGCTGCAGAAAGTTCTTGCGTTTCACTTTCTATGTCTCCCTCTATGCTTCTATGTCTCCCTCTATGCTTCAGCTTATATCGCTATGTCTTATTTTTGGGGTATGGCTTATATTGTGCAAATTGCTTAGAAATTCTGTGATGGCTTTTTTATGGGTATGTCTTATTTCCAGGGAAATACGGTATAACTCCTATATCACTTTCACATGTGCTGTTTTTAAGTCAGGTGTCACTCACGCTATCATTCCAGACCCTCAGGCAACCAATGCCTGAAAAAATACTTATGTTGGCAAAAAAATCTGTTCACACTCAGCATAAATCACCAAAAAGGGTCTAGGTAAGACAGTGTGCAAAACTTCCTCATACATTTAGCTAGAATCTGAGGGATTGTAATGCAAGTTATCCCACCTTCCTGTATGCATGTAACATAAGAGTAACTTAAATGGAAAAATGAAAGAATTCCCCCAAAAGACACCAGACTGCACCTGTGACCAGATGAAAGTAAATTCCTTAAAGCACTGTCAAGCAAACAGCCTCACCGCTCCAGCTGCAAGTCCTGCTGAGTTGGAACTTTTTGCTGCTGCCACAATAGATGCAATGAGAAGCAGGATAGTACCTATTAGGTAATGGAGAAATTCCTGAAAATAAACAAGCACAACCCAGTTTAGAAGTAACATTTTTGTGTGACTCAGCTAAAGCCATCCCAGCCAAAGTGTACTCATACTTGGAACCAAATTGTGAAAAGCAGGAAACCCAAAATGATTCACTCTTTCTGATCTGGATAATATTTCCTGGATGAAAGGCAGAGCCCAAAGACACTGCTTGACTGAAACTGATAAGACTGTCACTTCCTCCGTATTTCATCCCATTCTGGGACTGGGAACACAGAGGTTTAGATTCCTGTTTATCAGATATGTGGTTTATGCTTTTCTCCTACTAGTGACCTACATACTGTTATAGGCGAGACTGATCTGTTGCTAACCTTGAAGGCTGGAAATAATATACAGAACATAACCTATAGTGTATGAAATGTAAGGTCCAATATATAATTTAGAAATCTAGTTATATTAGAAGAAGCATGAGTGTAGTGTTGAGAGCTCAGCCTTATATATGGTCGCAAAGTCTTCCCAGTAAAGAAAGATGATAGGAAGAAAATGTAGAAATATGACACCTAGGGATCACATTTCATGGTTTTTTTTATGTTCCAGTTTACTACAGGTTTGTTTTATTTTTACAAGCACCAAAGTATGTTTTATTATATGGTACTATGCTTCTTGAAACAGTGATTTGTATGATGAGTAAAAAAAAACCTTACTGCCAGCGGCCAGTTGATGCAGGTCATTGTTCGGTAGATTCTGAAGATGTAGACAATGTAGAAGATGAGAATCATAACCAAGTCACAGATGGAGACAATTTCAAAGAAGCTGTATGTGCTGTGATCTGTCCACCAGGAAGATCTGATGCAGATGAATCCTATCAGCAGAAGTAACTGAAAAACAATCGTCAAAGAAAGGGTTGTGTGAGGAATAGAAGGAAGTAAATTCCAAATGCAAAAAAACCAAAACCAAAACACAACACCCCCCTCTAAAATAGGGATTTTTGAATAGTTCCAACTGAAGGAAGATGGCAAAAATTAATAGTTGGGAGAAAGGACATATTGGCATAAACCTAAACAAGCAACTTTGTTGTATGCTTTCAAGCCATTTCCAACTTATGACAACCCTAAAGTGACTCTATTACAGGTTTTTCTGGGACCAAGAGTGCAATTCACTCAAGATCACTTTGTAGGTTTCCTAGGCCAAACAAGGAATTGAACCCTGATCTTCAGAGACATAGTCCACTATACTATATTGACTGTCTACCCATGGCTACACCAGTATTTCGTATTTCAAAGGAAATTGCGGATGGCAATATGGAATGCTGCTACCACAGCTCCACAACAATGGCGAGATGGTCCTTGTTATGGTTTCTTCCCTGTCCATTGCATGGAATTATTCAATGAATCTCATCCACCATCTTGTACTTGGGGAAGAAGGTACAACAGCTTTACACTGGGGTTAACAGTGACCATATGTTTCTCAGCTGCCTCACGGAAGCCAGAACATAGCAGGTGCATCCCTGTTGCTGGGCAGAAGCTTGGATTCAGAACCTCTCTGGGTAGAGCATATAAGGTCAGAAGAGCAACTACTGCCTGCATCCTTTGCTGAGCATAGGTATGCATTAGGGAGATGAGCTCTGCCAATATACTTCCTGGAAAGTCTCTGAAACTAGTACAACTTTTTAAAAAAATGGAATCCAACTGTTAGTGAAACCTAGAACAGACCTACTGAACCAATTGTGGAATGTCAAGTCAACATCTCTGTAAATCCCACTGCTTCAATGGATCAAATTTAGATATGATTAGCCATTGGGCATAGATCAGGGTGGAAACCGTGCAGTCCTCCAGATGTTATTGAACTGCAACTTCCATTATTCCTTGTCATTGGCAATGCAAGCTAAGGGATGCAGGCAGTAATTATTCAACAATATCAGTAGAGCCCCATAAGTCCCACTCTTGAAATAGGCTACAATGAAACTACAATAGCCCTTCGACTTATCCATGGAGGATATGTTCTAGGACTAGCCCATCCACATGGATGCCTGAAACTCCTGATAATAGCAACCTTATACCAAAACTATTTATGGACAGCAGGTATCTGAAACCACGGAAAACAAACCTGTGGACAGAATGGGATACTACACACAAAGATTTATAGCTGCCAAAAGGAAGGGGGTGGATTAAAGATAGAAGAATATGCTTCCCCCCTCCTTCTGCATGAAGAGTTATTACATCAGCCACATGCTGTCAATTGCTGTAAACCACATTCTAGATTACAGAATGGGGGTCCTTACATTAAAAGCGATTTACAAATATGTTATGCTGATATGCTTAAAAGTACATACAATAGCATCAACAAGCAATTGTACAAAGCCCTTGTTGTTCAGTACAAGTAATGAATAGTCTTGTTTGTTAAACATTTTACAAAAAAGAATAGATCTTGGGTGATTATCTGTACACCGTTTGCAATAAATAGCACTACTTTAAACACATCCCTGTAAATTACTACTTGGAGTACAGTACAGAAAGAAAGAACTTACAATACTGAAAGATACTTAAATCAACACAGAGCATACATCCAATTTTTGAGGAACACTAGTGATTATTATTATTACAGGGCAATTTATATGTTAAGTTTGCAAAACAAAAAGTGACAGATGCAAGAATAATTTGTGATGGGAAAACGCTGCCTGAAACATGACATTAGCACATTATTTGTCAAGTATTCCAAAGTCAATGACTGTGTTCAGATGCTACCGTAAGCTATGGTTCCTCATTCTGAAAATAAGCCTCCCCTCTCCTTACGGCATGCCAGAATGCAAACTCATTTGCTAGAACCATTTCCCCTAAACCAACTATATTTTGTCAATTAACTTGAATGTGGATGGCTGTAGTCTGTTGTATCTAGGATTTGTGTATATGTATTCACCTTCAGGTTGCCAGTGGATTAATGGTGGTCCATGCATTTAATAGGGCTTTGTTAGGCAAAGAATACTTAAAGGTGGTCATGCCAGTTCTTTACTGGAAATAATCTTGAAGCTATAAGCTTAGAGAAGACAATTATGCTGGGGAAAATGGAAGGCAAAAGAAAGAGCGGCCGACCAAGGGCAAGATGGATGGCTGGCATCCTTGAAGTGACTGAATTGACCTTGAAGGAGCTGGGAGTGGTGACAGCCGATAGGGAGCTCTGGTGTGGGCTGGTCCATGAGGTCATGAGGAGTCGGAAACGAATGAACAACAATAAATAACAAACTGGATAGAAGAAGATAAAAAACATGTTTTGAAGATATCAGAATTATCATGGCTTTTGGAATTTCCTTATATCATTGGTTTACTGAGGAATTGTTTTATTGCTATTAAGAGTCTAATAAAACTGAACTGTTCTACTACACTGCACATATTTAATTATGAACACTAGATGTAGATATTATGAACACTTAGAGGCAAGTTCAAGGGGAGCCCAGAGTGTTATATAATACTATATAACGTGTAGCATTCTAGATTAGCCTATTTTTTATCTGCATTCTAGGAACATTTGCATGATCTTTTTGAAAAATCAGAACCCTTTCATCACATTTAAAAAAAAAACCTTAAGATTATACTTAGCTAAACAGAAGAGATGCTAAGAAACCCAGTTATTGAACTGAAAAGATGAATACTGGAACACTTCTCTTGAAATCATCATCATTGATGATCACTCATGACCGGGTAGGATGGCCTTTCAAACATAAGGTCTTGAGGGTGGGTCCATAGGTGACTGTGGATACCTATTCTTGATTTACATGTTCTTCCACAGTGAGGGCATCAGTTTCCAAATGAAAGGCAGTCCTGGTCAGGGTTGGCTTGACATGCCATCCTCTTGAAGCATTTCTCCCTTTTGTCCTTCCTTCGTGCATCTCTGAATCCCACAGCACTGTTAGTAACAGCTGACCTCCAGTTAGAGTGCTCAAGGGCGAGGGGTTCCCAGTTCTCAGTGTCTATGCTACAGTTTTTAAGTTTGGTTTTAAGCCAATCTTTAAATCTCTTTCCCTGTCTACCAAACTTTCTTTTCCTGTTCTTGAGTTGGGAGTATAGTAACTGTTTGGGAGACGGTGATCAGGCATTCGGACAACATGGCCAGTCCATCAGAGTTGATGGCAGAGGATCATTGCTTCAATGCTGTTGATATTTGCTGCTTTCAGCACACTGACATTTGTCTGCCTGTCTTTCCAAGAGATTTGTAGTATTTTTCTGAGGCAACACTGACGGGATTGTTCCAGGAGTTAAGTTTGATGCCTGTAGACAGTCCACGTTTCGCAGGCATATAACAGGGTTCGGAGTACAATAACTTTATAAACAAGCATCTTGGTCTACCTACGAATGTCCCAATCCTTAAACACTCTCTGCTTAATTCAAAAGAATGCTGTACTCGCAGAGCTCAGTCGATGTTGTATTTCAGTGTCGATGTTGAATTTTGTGGAGAGGTGGCTGCCAAGGTAGCAGAAATGGTCAACATTTTCTAACATTACACCATTAAGCAGTATTTCTTGCATTATCTTGAAATACACACTAGGACTGATGTGATACACTTCAAAACTAATGTGCATCATTTCCATTGGACATTGTTTCTGTTATGTATCGAGGATCAATATGCATTGGATACTTTGCCAGCTCTGTTATGTGGGGCTGTTAATAGCAGCTCTGTAACTGGATATGGTCACTGTGCAACTGTGCAATTTTAATTCCTGTAGATGTACATCAACTTACGAAGATGCAATGCCCCAACAGGATTATGGCTAAATATTTTTAAAATATCTATATTCAGAAAAATGCAAACTCCAGCATAAGAGACAGGCAGAATTATACTCCAGATATTGCATAAAGGCTCTAATAAAGGCATCAGGACATGAGGGAATGGCTCCAAATCGAGTGTAAATGTGAGATTTGAGGAAGGAGCCTCGAGAGAAAGCTTGGAGGGGCAAATTAAATATATGGGCTAGAGATTCTGTTTTTCTTTTTACAGGAGATATGTGGCTTTTGCCCTTCCTCCTCATTATAACAAATGAAGAAAATATGTGTCTAGTAGCACTACAGCTTGCTCTATTTCACTTCAATCTGCTTGACAAAATAATGAACCCAAGGTAACATCCTCTAATAAATTTTTTATTAGATGGTACAAAAGAGATGAGTGTGGGTTAATGGCAACTACAACACTCTCTCTATTAATGTAATAATTGTCCTGAGCCAAAAAGCATAGGGGAAAGGAGAGGGACAGCAGTGATGAAGGTACCCAATTCAAAGTGCTAGTTCTCACCTATAAAGCCCTAAAAGACTTGGGTCTTGTCTATATTCATGACCGCACCCCCCTATGAACTGACACGGGTTCTAAGATCCTCCAGGGAGGCCCTCCTCTTGGTCTGCCACCTTCACAAATGCGGTTGGTGGGGACAAGGGAGAGGCTTTCTTGGTGGTGACCCCCTGGCTTTGGAACTCTCTCCCCAGGGAGATTACACAGGCCCCCACACTGTCCTCCTTTTGTAGGGACTCGAAGATGTGGCTCTTCAATCAAGCCTTTGAGAATATTTAGCCCCTAGTTGTTCTATGTAGTAGTCTCGCATACTGCACTTTATCCCATGCCCTCTCTCTATTATTGCAGCTAGCACTTATTTTATTCCAATGTTTACAGCCCAGCCATGGTGCCAGTAATTTACCACTATAGTTACAGGATCGCAGCTTGATTGAGTCTAAATTGATGTTTTTGTATGTACATGTATTTTATTGTATGATATTTTATATTGTGTTCACATTTATGATTGCTTTTAAGCAATTTGTGCCATCTGTAAGCCACCCTGAGTCCCTTTGAGGAGATGGTGGTGGGATACAAGTATAAAGTTGTTGTTGTTGTTGTTACC